AATTTTTTGCAGGAGATATATTAGATTTCCTTACATCAATATACAACTTAGTTGTAAATTCACCTGTGGGTCATAAATTCTGAAGGTGCTGTCATCTTGCAGAATGTGTGTTTAAAGTCATAGTAGCTGAAGGACTGCTTTGTTGATTCCAAGTATGCTTCTGGCCAATGCCAAAGTTAAGAATGTGTATGTACAGTAAGAAGCTGCTTGTGATGTATTAAAATATGTCATTCCTTATTCATATTAAGTCTTATGATGATCTGTCATGATGCTAGGAAGCCATCACATTCACTTGTCTTTATTAGAAATAATGTTTTAGTAGCTATTGAAAAGTACAGTATAGTTTCCCCAACTGTATTGGGTTTTTTTATATTGATGTTCTCGAATTGTGTATATATATATATTTATATTGATGTCTACCTAGCTCAGTGTTTCTCAACCTTGGCCATTTTAAGACGTGTGGACTTCAACTTCCAGAATTCCCCAGCACTAATCAACTCTGGGGCATTTTAAAACAGAACCTTGAACATACGTTATTTAAAATATTGCTAGAAACATAATACACACCTTATGAAATTATATCGCCACTAAAGGTGCTCAGGGAAGGGGTTAATAATTTCAAAAGCTCCACCCCTTTTTAACAAGTGTTGCATGCATGCAAAAAGGCATGGGGCTTTCACCACCAGATCTGATTGCCATTTTGACTTTGCTGAACCCTGCCGCGGACGTCTCTGCATCTGTTGAGTTATATTGGTGACATGGGCAGCAGTTTTTCATGGTTTTAAACACCTCCCCCCCTCCCCCCCAGCACTATCTGGAAAGGCTTGAGAATCAACCCAGGACTTTCTACACACAACGTGGGTGTTCAGGGTAGCTTACAAGGCTACATAAAACACCACTTTCATGAACCATGGGGCATATTAGAGGTGATTGGTGCAGATATAGGTTTAAACACCTCATTCTGTTGCTGTCAACTTTCTTGCTGCCACAACCAAGACTCCAACCAAATCATTCCTAGGAAATAGTGTATGAACACCAGAAATGTGATAGAAGTTTTTATTTTAGTCTGTGAAAAAAGCAATTTAGTGGGGTATGCAGGGGCCACCTGTTCTGATTTAAAGGTCCAGCCTTGTCGAAGTTGCTTCAGAGAGAGTACAATCCAAGTTGATGCATGATCAGGAAAAAAAAATGTTCCACTCTCACAGTTTAGCATGGGGAAAAGACAAATGGTTGTATTTCCAAATTATACTGCTTTACCTCAGGACCCAGGCTTCTGCTGAATTTGATGCTCACCCTATTAACTCAAAATTAAATTTTGAGTAAACTACGTCAGTCTTATGGCTAGCAACTCACCTTGGAGGCTTCGTATTCAGAATTTCCAGACAACTGTAGAAACACAGCACTGAGTTAGAATTAAATACAATTCCTACACTGATACTCTTCAACATCTAATTGATCATTTGGCATCAAGGTGAAGGAAATACTGATCAAATTTACAGGTAACATAATTTTGTGGCAGATTTCATATTCAAGAATAGCTTTCCCCACTCTGATTGCTCTCTTTATATGGACTTTAATTCTCCATAGAATTTTGGATGGATTCCAGGTTAAGGAAAACTTTCCTAGAAGACAGAAACAAAGTTTGAAAATGTTCTTGGTAGCTTAGAGAAAACAACTGAAAACAAAGAATGAAATCTAAGAGACAAATACAAAGTTCCTCATTTGGCAAAAGAAATCAATGCACAGGAATGGGGGATATCTAGATGGTATAATCTTAGAACTGTAATTGTTCACAAACTATAAACAGGAACTTGACATGGCTGTAGAGAAGACAAATACAGTTTTAGATTGCATTAACATTATTTGATTACATGCCATCAAGTCAGCATCATCTCTTAGTGATCACATAGATACACTTTCTCCAGGATGATCTGTCTCCAATCTGGCCATTCAAGTCTTCCAGCAACGCACCCATCACTGTTGTAATGGGGTCAACCCACTTTGCTGCTTGTCCTCCTCTTCCACCTATGCCAGCATTATGGACTTCTCAAGGAGCTAGGTCTTTGCATAATATCTCCAAAACATGGTAAATTGAGCCTGGTCATTTATGCCTTGAGTGAGAACTCTATTCTATGATCCATTCATTTATTTTCTTGACTACCCATGATATTCTCAGGATTCTTCTCCAACACCAAAGTTCAAGTGTCAGTAGTCTTTCTATTCTGCTTCTTCAAAGTCCAACAAAGTCCATAGTTTCAAAATCATGAGAATAGTTCCATTCTGTTCTGAATTGGTTAGACCTTTAGCACCTTAGAATATAAATTCAGACAGCAGCATGCCAGGAGGAATCAAAAGCATCCAAATAGTGGGTGTGACTCGGCAAAACCCCGGCCTTTTTACATGCATTGCACACATCACACACATGTAAAAAGGAGCAAAGCTTTGATTGCTTGGTCATGCCTGCCATTTTGATGCTGTTGACCCCTCTGCAAACATCCTTGATTTCAGACAAAATAGATGCAGAGATGAATGCTGAAAAAACTCTTATTGATAGACCCGTTCAAGACCTTATGCCGTTCAGTGACTACAGAAGTATATACATTAGGGATAAGTAAAATATTTTGAATGAATCATTTTGAATTCAAAACACTAAAATGCTAGATACCTCCTTTCATGCATGAAAAAGCTGCTTCAAGCATTTTGGAAGTGTCTCAAGCAAAACGGCAGAATTTCACACTCAGAGCAGAACTACTGAACTCAAAACTCTCCTGAACTTCTTTGTTTTATATTCAGAATAGTTATTTCACACTCAAACTGGAACAGTTTAAAACTGAAACATTTTGCTTATCTCTAATCCAACAATTTTAACCACGCCAGCAGTGGGACAGAAATAAGTTACCCATCATCTCAAACTGGCTTGCCTCAGTTATTTTCCTCTTGGCGAAACTCCAAAATCACACCAGAA